TTCTTATTTATAATAAATAAATATATTCATCAATTTTAAATCAGTAAAAAAATTAAATGTTTTTTTCGCTTTGTGTAAAATTCTAACTTTAACAGTTAGAAGATATTGGCACTTCACCGTCGATATATAAAATGGGATGGTGTTGAAGGATAAATGACACTGTGCATAGTGTCAACTTCTCATTACAATATTCAATTATATTAAATCATATCTCAAACACAATCACTTTGTAAAACCTGGTGTTTTTATAAACAATCAAAAAAAATCAAAGTCAAGTCAGTCTTTGGAGGGACAACAAAGTAAATAAAATCTTGATTTTTATAGTTTATTTTGTGTGATTTTATTTCAGCATTGTTTTAATCAGCCACTTAATAAAAAAATCGCAAGTTTTCTACTTTCCATTACCATATAACATATAACACTAAAAGGTGAAAATTAACTCATTTCATACACCTATTATGTACTATTGCATATTATTTAGTTACAATTTATACTGTTCAACACTTAATTAGAACTTGCAATTAAGAATATATTAAAAATATTTTTCAAAAGTATATTGTACTGACATTATGGTAATATATCATAAATAAAATATATTCTAATTTTAATATAAAAACCAAACAAATTATTACATCTTATTTATTTAAAATATTATTCAACAGAACCTTAAAATACGAGGGTGGATTGGAAAGTACTCGGCCTAACACAGATCCATTCAATTCTAAAAATCAAATCTACCCACATTATTTAGTTCAGTTCAGACTAGTTCATTGTGTGAAGTTCGAAACGTGTGCGATAATTAGTTGTGATTTTATAAATTTATTAACAAAGTAATCGGACATAATTTCCGCGAATGGAGCAAATCGAGCAGCGTGCCGTCATTAAGTACCTCCATAAGAAGGGGCTATCATCAAAAGCCATCCATGATGACATGGTCAGTACATTAGGCGATTGTGCTCTGTCATATTCATCCGTCAAAAAATGGATAGCAGAATTTAAGCGTGGTAGAGAGAGTGTGAAAGATGAACCCCGCTCTGGAAGGCCTTCGACGTCAACTACTGACGAAAATATTAAAAAAAGTACTTGATTTAATAATGGGAGACCGCAGATTAAAAATTAGAGAGATAGCCGAGATTATAGGCATCTCTTATGAACGAACTCAAAACATCATTGTCAACGAGTTGGGTTTCCACAAGGTGTCTGCGAGGTGGGTTCCGCGACTGCTTTCAGTTGAACAAAAAAGAACGCGATTGACTATTTCACGCGACTGTTTGGAGTTATTTGAAGCCGATGCAGATGATTTTTTGAATCGTTTTGTTACTATGGACGAAACATGGGTTCATTACTGTACACCGGAAACAAAACAACAATCAAAACAGTGGAGAAGATCTGGTTCACCACTCCCTAAAAAGGCTAAGTCGATTTTGTCGGCAAATAAGGTGATGGCTTCAGTATTCTGGGACTCGAAAGGTGTGATTATGATTGATTATCTTGAAAGGGGTCAGACTATAAACTCTGATTACTACTGCACCTTACTACGTCGTTTACGAGAGGAAATAAAAGAAAAACGTCGAGGAATGCTCAGAAGAAAAGTCCTGTTTCATCAAGATAACGCCCGTGTTCACACGTCAGTACAGTCAATGGCTGAAATTTACAACTGTGGCTTTGAACTGTTACTGCATCCGCCGTATTCACCTGATCTGGCACCATCAGACTTCTTTCTGTTCCCTAACCTATAACCTAAAAAAGCACTTGGGAGGTCAAAGATTTTCGACAAACGACGAGGTCAAAGCAGCTGTAGACGCATATTTTGACTCTAAGGAAGAATAATTTTTTTTCTACGGTCTAAATGCTTGGAAGGGGAGGTGGCAAAAGTGTATTGAACTTGATGGTGATTATGTAGAAAAATAAAAATATAACTGATTTAGTGTTTATTTTCTTGGTTAGGCCGAGTACTTTTCAATCCACCCTCGTAGCTATTTTAATCCACGCAACTGTAAATACTTGCTCACTGATCTCTACAATAGAATAGAATAATTTTATTCATATAGATTATTACATAATACTTATTGAGTCATTTTTTATTTGAGAAAGCTCAACAAGCAATCCTCAAAACTACAGCTAGTCTCCCTCATACATGGACATGTATATTAAAAATAATAACCAGAAACCATTCCCAACTGAATTATGATCCCAATCTCAGCATTACTAAAAGGAGATAAAACAAAGTCTGTCCTTCTATGACAGTTAAATCCAGCTTAGCCAAGAGACACTATATCTATGTTAGCAATTACATCTACAACAAAATAAATAGGCTGCTATCTATGTATCCTCTACCTAAGCACAAATGTAGAAAAAAAACGGCTCAAATCTTTAACATATGAATCCACTGAAAGTTTCTTACATCCTCAACTATATAATATCACACACATTATATATAATTATTATACTTTAATCTAAAATATGTGTCTATATATTGTGTTATATTAATTGGCTTTGTTGAAGTTTGAAATGTGGTAAGGCTGCGAGACTAGACAGAGTTACTGCTGAAATGGTCAAGTACGATGGGCCTCGCGTCTGGGACAGCTTTTATATGCTGTGCAACTTGTGCTGGCGGACGGGAGATGTCCCGGATGATTGGCGATTTGCGGTCATTGTGCCTTTATATAAAGGTAAAGGTTCACATTTTGACTGCGGGTGCTATCGGGTGATCAGCTTGACCAGTTTAGCAAGTAAAGTTTACTCGAAGGTTTTGACACGTAGGATGCAAGAGAAATCGGAAAGATTCTTATGGGAGGCACAATGCGGATTTAGACCTGGAAGAGGATGCACGGATCAAATGTTTTCTCTCCGCATGATCACGGAAAAGTTTCTGAGTGTTAACCAGAGGATTTTCTGTGCTTTTGTGGATCTGGAGAAAGCATTTGATAAGGTTATAAGGAAGAAAATGTGGGAACTGTTGCCGGGATATGGTGTGGATGGTCGATTGCTAAGGGCTGTGCAGTCACTTTACTATGACTGTAAAGCCTGTGTGTGGGTAGGGCATGACCTGTCACCCATGTTTAGCGTCCAAGCGGGCGTAAAACAGGGTTGTGTCATGTCTTCCTGGCTGTTCATACTGTATCTCGATAGCTGTTTACAGAAGCTGAAAAATAGCTGTTTGGGTGTGAAATTGGGTGACATAAAAGTAAATTGTCTGCTGTATGCTGATGATGCAGTGCTTATTGCACCATCAGAAGCAGAACTGCAGGCATTAGTCACGTGTATGAAAGAGGAATGTGAAATTAAAGGTCTCCGTTTGAATGCTAATAAAACTAAGGTTCTGGTATTTGAAAAGGACGAAGAGAGAACGAAATGTGAACAGGTAAATGAAATTGTATACTTGGGGAGTGCTTTCAGCCGGGATGGAAGATGTGATTTAGATGTGGATAGGCGCGTCGCTGCCGGAAACAAAGTCAATGGTGCCCTGAATGCATTAGTCAAAAGGCAAGGCGTGGTGAAGAGTGTACGCCTTGCAATACATAACGCAGTGTTGGTACCGACTTTGTTATATGGCAGCGAAACCTGGGTATGCCAGAAGAAGCATAAAAGCAAGTTGAATGCAGTGGAGATGCGATCTCTTCGTAAAATGTGTGGCGTTACCATAGCCGATCGAAAGCGAAACGAAGAGATTCGCAATATGGCAGGATTGAAAGATGACCTTATCACAAAAATTGATAGGGGCGTACTCCAATGGTTTGGGCACATTGAGCGAATGAGTGAAGACCGAATGGTGAAGAAAGTATATAGAGCGAAAGTAAATATTAAAAGGTGTCGAGGTAGACCGAGACTAACTTTCGAAGACCATGTGAGCAAATTGCTCGAAGAGGGGAAGGTCAAGAGTACTTGGATACCTAGACGTGCATGTATGAAAAGTTAATGAACCTGAAAGAAGCGAAAGAGGTATGTAAGGATCGTGACACTTGGCGATCTGTTCTCTCTGGCTACCCCGTTAGGGATTGTGCGTGAAGATAAGTAAGTAAGTAAGTAAGTTTGTTATATTTATCCTTCATTTTACTAAATGACCGATTTTCTCACAATAAATTCAATGAAAGTAATGATCTCTTCAATATACTATACAAACATGTAATTTAAACATGTAACATCCGTTAGAAGGGACCTGATGACCTATAGAACAGGTATTTTTTAGTACCTTTATTAGGCACCAGTCTCTCACAAACTAGGGTTCAATATGTTTATATAGTTTGTGCCAAATCAATTGAGAAAAATGGACAATGACCTCAGATATGAGCCGAGTGTCCAAAAGGCGTAACTTACAAAATCTCAATTTAGATGTGATAACAATATTTAAATATTGATATTATTCACACTTCTAGGTTAGCATATACTTTATTTTTGTTTCTTAAATAATATTGTCTGTGGTTCCTATAAACATTGTAAAATCTTATAGTACATTGTGAAAAATGTGTTATATTTTAATTTATGGTTAGTAATGCAGCAATTCATTTAATAACAGTTTTATATTAAAAAAAATATTTGAAGCAATAGAATCACCATATAGAGCTTTTGCAAATTCATCCCTTTAACCCTAGATTACTAAACATTAGTCTCACAGGCAACACAACTCTGATGCATTCGCTGTCTAGGTATGTTTCATTACCCCCCCCCCCCCGGCCCCTCAGTACCTTCCTAAATTGGCCAACCAGTGTCCCGTGCAAACGCATTGCGTTCGCACGCTTCCTAGTTCCGGAGATTTTGCGAAATATTAGTCTCTCAGGCTAATGTTTAGTGATTACGCCACAAAAGTAAATAAAGGTAAGTTATTATGACATTAATGTTTTTTAACAATTTTATCTGTAATAACTAATTATTGATTTAATTTAATAATAAATATGAGCGATACTAAGAGCAATATTTATTTTATGAATTTGTTATCTATTTTACTTATTATACTATTTATATATTATGAGATTTTGAATATATAGTATTTTCTGTTTTAGATGGATTTGATACGAGATCAAGATAAAATATTGCAGATTATGAACGAGTCGGACGACGATGATGATTCACCGTTGGTTGGACCACTTGGTGTGCCTTCAGACTCCGAACTTGATGACAACTTAAAGGAGGACTTGGTCGAAAATACCGACGAAAGTGAAGAAAAATCCTCAAGTTCTTCTGACGAAGATATGAATGTTTCCCGGATAAACCATAACAGAAACAGGATCCTAGATTCAGATGATGATTCTTTGGAGTACTTGCAGCCTTGTCCACCCATAGTTTCTCAGCAGAACCCGGTAATACAACCAGAGAGACCATTCATTTATAGAAAAAACAAATATAAGTGGGCGAAACTCCACGCTCTTCAAACACTCATGCATCAGCTCGAAACATTATTCATTTTGTACCTGGCCCTAACAGTGATGCACGTGATTTGGTAGAACCAATTCCAATATTTCATTTGTATTTATCTGATGAAATGATTGACCAACTTGTTATTCGCACAAATGCAGAGATTGAATTGAAAAAGATGAAGTAAAAGGAATTGACTCATACTATCTCTGCAACTTCGGCTAGTGAACTGAAAGCTTTGCTTGGTCTTCTTCTGCAATCAGCTGCTATAAAAAGTAATCATTTACCTACGAGAATGTTGTGTGATACCAGAAGGAGTGGTAACGTTTTCATAGCATGTATGAGCGCAGAGAGATTTGATTTCTTACTTAGATGCCTTCGATTTGATAACAAAGCTACCAGACAAGACAGAAGAGCATCCGATAAATTTGTACCAATTACAGAAATTTGGGAGAAATTCATTGATAATTGTAAAAAATTGTACAAGCCAAGTTCCTATCTAACAATTGATGAACAATTAGTTGGGTTTAGAGGACGCTGCCCATTTCGAATGTATATACCCAATAAGCCTAACAAGTACGGCATCAAAATTGTAATGGTTGCAGATTCTAATTTAAAGTATGTCTATAATGCTACCCCTTATCTAGGTAAAGCAACCAATTGTGAGAATGTGCCTCTTGCCGCACATTTCGTGAAAAAACTGTGAGCCTATCTATGGGACTAACAGAAATATTACGATGGACAATTGGTTCACTTCAGTGCCACTTGCTTCCGAATTGCTTCGAGACCCGTATAAACTCACACTTGTTGGGACAATACGCAGTAATAAGCGAGAGATTCCACCCGAAATGAAAAACAAAAAATCAAGAATGATTAACACTTCGATGTTTGGATTTGATGGTGAGTCGACTCTGGTCTCCTATAAACTGAAATCTAATAAAGTTGTATTTCTTTTATCGACAGTGCATAATTAGCCGGACATTAACTCCATGAAAAAGCCTGAAATCATACATTTCTACAATAGTACCAAAGTTGCTGTCGATACTGTCGACCGAAAAAGGAAAAAAAAATGTGTTCGGCTATATTGTTAATCGCAAAACCAATAGATGGCCTCAATGTGTGTCTTATAATATTTTGAACCTATGCTTAATCAACTCTTATGTCATCTATGTATCGAACATGGTCAGAAAACAGCAAAAACCAATGAAACATAGGACTTTTGTCCAAAGTTTGGCCGATAAGCTCATAGAGCCATGGTTACGGGTGCGTTACAATACAGTAACTTTGAGGAGAGATATAAAAGCTAGTATCAAAGATATTTTAAAAATTGAAAAAGCTTCTCCTAGTACCTCTCAAGCTCAACAAAATAAGCGTAAAATATGTTCTTTTTGTCCTTACAAAAAGCACAGGATGACCAAGTATGCTTGATAAAATATGTTCTTTTTGTCCTTACAAAAAGCACAGGATGCAAGTATGATTTGCGGGGAACATACGGTTCCGGTGTGTTTTGATTGCCAAGAATAATTTTTATTTAGTTATATGTTAATTTAGAGGACGTTCCATACTTTATATAGATTTTTTCTAAATAAATGCTTTGATTACGAAAAATACTGAGGTTTCAATTTGTTAGTTTGTAGGACTAATATTTAGTAACATTGTTACTAGAAAATAAGTTTAGTGATCTAGGGTTAAAATAACAAAATGCGCATTACGTCAGTTCGTTCTAAAAGAAACGTGACAATGGCAGCAAGAGATGCGTCACTTTTTTTGGGCCTCCCCGCATGCACGGAATAAAAATAAAGTTCTTATATAATATTGAAAACAAAGTTTTATCTTTTGGATAAGTAAGTACTTATTCCGTGTCGTTATCACTCGAATCTTTATTTGTGTTATAAATTAATGCTTTTTGTTGTTAAATGAATAATGTATTTTATAACAATAGATGATTTTTCTTCTACAGCAATTGGTTGCGCGGAAAACCATTCGCGTTTTTTATTTGACGGTAGGAACTTGTAGAATCATTATTCCTTTCCAAACAATATCATTCGTACCCTCCTATCGACACATCGGGGTGGTGGGGTGGGAGGGGAAAGAAGACGATTCTAGAACATCGCGTAATCACCCGAGCCGAGGATATATAAGACACGCGCGACCGATGCGCGAGCCTCTTCTCCCGCCGCAGTCGTCGTTGAACCAACGCTTCTCTCCTGACGCACCACTGGGGCCCCAGAAGTGTCTGTCCAGAGGAGGTTCCGGAAGTCGCCGCTATAGTGATCGACAGGAAGAAGAAACCCCGGTGAGTCAATATTCCTTAATTATACCTGCTTGCTAATAGTTTAACCCGCTCCAATCTGTGTTTTTTTTCCTAGTCAAGCAGGATTCCTTTCATCGATTCGACAAGTAATAGTTTAGTTTAGGGAAGAGCGAGTGCATTGTACCGCATGCTATAGTAGTCGCTTTACGTAAGCGTAGAAGCAATCGCATATACAGTCCACTTTAGTTAATATCTCGCGTAATAGGTTTGAGGTTTGACCGGGGAACTAGATTTTCGGCAGCCTTAAACACGTGGCTCCACCATTTTATGGTCACTTCGGCAGGATCTGGATTGGTGTTTAGTGGTTATCCAACCATTTTCTGGTCGAATTATTAAATTAATTGTTTAGATAACGCACTCTAATTTATAGAATAGACTTAAATAGTGTTCGTTTAAATTAAAATTTTGATTTGTTACTCGCAAACAGAATTATTCATTTAATAGCGCTCGTATTTGGTTAAATTTAAAGCTTATTAAATAATTGAAACGGCGTGATAGCAACCGTTTGATACGCTTACCCCACAATTTTATAAAATTATTAGGTTTAGCAAACGACGCGTAGCCTTGACTGCATCGGGCGCTCGATCTGATTACGTAATACGGCACGCCGAGTATTCATCCTACGTCGTTTATGCGTGTGAGATTAATTGTGATTAATATAACTTTATTATAATAATTTAAAATGGCAGTTAGTGGAAGTGAAATCAAAATTAAAACGCTTTATGCCAAGAGGGACATACTCTTTTCGCGTGTGCAGAATATAAGTGATTATATAAAGAACATTCATATAGAGGCAGTACGGGAGGCCTTTTTAAATGAAATCGAAACGATAGATAATTTGCGGACAGATTACGAAAGAATATTAGATCAAATTAATCATTCGGAACTACAAACCGACCCGAAATACATAGTGAACTACCAACCGCTGCTGGCATTCGAAGATATGTTGTGTCGCGTGAAGAGAACCGCAAAATTGCTACAATCTCAAGGTGAAGCGAAGCCTGAAATGCAGGTACGCCCTCGTGACTCAATTAGGTTACCGCCAATAGATATTCCGGTATTCAATGGTGATATTAAGACGTGGCCCTTCTTCTTCAGTAGTTTTCAAAACAATATACACAACAACCCATCGTTATCGGACGCTGAAAAATTATATTACTTAATTAGCAAACTTAGTGGCAGAGCACAGTCGATCTGCTCGGGTTTTACACCTACAGCAAACAATTACGTATTAATATTTGAAACGCTTAAAACTAAATATGAAGATAGGAGAATGTTAGCTTCCGAATATTTGAACCAGATATTCGATCTTAAACCTATATCATCCGCGAACATCAACGGCTTAGAGCAGTTTCTCGATAAATTTGTGGCATCGGTGGCTGCACTTAAGAATTTGAAGTTTAATGACCTCATGGACGTGGTGTTTCTCCATATAGCATTAAAGAAATTAGACTCCGACACCGTGCGTGCGTTTGAAATGGAGCATCGTAGCTCGGAGATGCCTTCCTTTCATTCATTAGCATCGTTCGTGCGAGATCAAATAAAGGTGATGCAGCGCTCACCGAACGTTAAACAGGAGATTAAAAGGTGCGTCGACCGTAGACAGACTCAACCATCTAAAATAGCAGGGTCGTTAACTTACGTAACCGCTACGCCGACATCACTCCAGCATACTTGTATAGTATGTAAAGATAAACACGGTAATTTATATAACTGTGCGACTTTTCGTAAATATTCACCAAGCGAACGTTATAAGTTAGTAAAAACAAACAACCTATGTTTGAACTGCTTAAGCGATAAGCATTTAGTTGCAAAATGCAATTCGAGTTCCGTATGTAGCAAGTGCGCCAGGAAACATCACACGCTATTACATTTTGAAAATAGCAACATAGCGGCGTCAAGTAAGGCGAATAAGGAATTCACCCCTACTAAGGTCAACGATTCTAGCGGTCGACCTGGTGATGTCGCTCTGTGCTCATTGGCAAATATGGGAGCACAACCTCCTTCAACCGTGTTACTGGGTACGGCGCGTATTTTGGTTAGGGATTCGCGTGGAAACAAACAAAGCGTCCGTGCACTGCTGGACAGCGGAGCCCAAAATAGCTTTATAACACGACAATGTTGTCAGCGCTTAGGCTTAGTAATAAATAGGTCACTTTCATGTCCTGTAGTTAAAGGCATCGGAGGTACTAGTAAAGCGACACAGGGATATATAAATTTAAAATTTTATTCTCGGATAGATCGTAACGTTAACTTTGATATAAATGCACTAGTAGTAGATAGGGTCACTGAACGGTTGCCAACCGTTTCGGTTGACACCTCGGCAATGATTGAATTTAAAAATTTGACTCTAGCAGACGACACTTACGCCGTTCCTGGAAACATAGACATGCTCATTGGGGCATCGCTTTTCCCTCATCTTTTGTTAAACAATAAGGTCAGGGGCAACTCCTCGCATACCGCGCCTTACGCACTGGAAACCGTATTGGGCTATGTGATCCTTGGCTCCGCCCCCATCCTAGATAGTATTTCGGCAGCCTCTTATTGTGGTATGGCTGTCGAACCGCTCGAGTCGTTAGTCCGCAAATTTTGGGAGATGGAGGAGGTGAACGTCCCACCCATAGCTAGTTCAGATGACAGGATATGCGAGGAAATTTACGTCCGCACGACCGTTCGTGATCGCGACGGTAGATATAGTGTAGCGCTACCCTTTAAGGGAGATGTTTTATCTCTCGGCGATTCGCGTCAAATGGCGGAAAAACGTTTCTACAGCTT